TCAGAATGCAGGATTGCGGATGAGCAAGGAGGTTTCAGAGTGGGTAGGGGATGTGTAGATCAAGTGTTTACATTGAAGCATATATGTGAACAGTATTTAGAATTAGATAAAGGTAGGGAAGTTTTTATTGCATTTATGGATTTAGAAAAGGCATATGATAGAGTGGATAGAGGAGCAATGTGGCAGATGTTGCAAGTATATGGAATAGGTGGTAAGTTATTAAATGCTGTAAAGAGTTTTTATGAGGATAGTGAGGCTCAGGTTAGGGTGTGTAGAAGAGAGGGAGACTACTTCCCGGTAAAAGTAGGTCTTAGACAGGGATGTGTAATGTCACCATGGCTGTTTAATATATTTATAGATGGGGTTGTAAAGGAAGTAAATGCTAGGGTGTTCGGGAGAGGGGTGGGATTAAATTTTGGGGAATCAAATTCAAAATGGGAATTGACACAGTTACTTTTTGCTGATGATACTGTGCTTATGGGAGATTCTAAAGAAAAATTGCAAAGGTTAGTGGATGAGTTTGGGAATGTGTGTAAAGGTAGAAAGTTGAAAGTGAACATAGAAAAGAGTAAGGTGATGAGGGTATCAAATGATTTAGATAAAGAAAAATTGGATATCAAATTGGGGAGGAGGAGTATGGAAGAAGTGAATGTTTTCAGATACTTGGGAGTTGACGTGTCGGCGGATGGATTTATGAAGGATGAGGTTAATCATAGAATTGATTAGGAAAAAAAGGTGAGTGGTGCGTTGAGGTATATGTGGAGTCAAAAAACGTTATCTATGGAGGCAAAGAAGGGAATGTATGAAAGTATAGTAGTACCAACACTCTTATATGGATGTGAAGCTTGGGTGGTAAATGCAGGAGCGAGGAGACGGTTGGAGGCAGTGGAGATGTCCTGTGTAAGGGCAATGTGTGGTGTAAATATTATGCAGAAAATTCGGAGTGTGGAAATTAGGAGAAGGTGTGGAGTTAATAAAAGTATTAGTCAGAGGGCAGAAGAGGGGTTGTTGAGGTGGTTTGGTCATTTAGAGAGAATGGATCAAAGTAGAATGACATGGAAAGCATATAAATCTATAGGGGAAGGAAGGCGGGGTAGGGGTCGTCCTCGAAAGGGTTGGAGAGAGGGGGTAAAGGAGGTTTTGTGGGCAAGGGGCTTGGACTTCCAGCAAGCGTGCGTGAGTGTGTTAGATAGGAGTGAATGGAGACGAATGGTACTTGGGACCTGACGATCTGTTGGAGTGTGAGCAGGGTAATATTTAGCGAAGGGATTCAGGGAAACCGGTTATTTTCATATAGTCGGACTTGAGTCCTGGAAATGGGAAGTACAGTGCCTGCACTTTAGAGGGGTTTGGGATATTGGCAGTTTGGAGGGATATGCTGTGTATCTTTATATGTGTATGCTTCTAAACTGTTGTATTCTGAGCACCTCTGCAAAAACAGTGATAATGTGTGAGTGTGGTGAAAGTGTTGAATGATGATGAAAGTATTTTCTTTTTGGGAATTTTCTTTCTTTTTTGGGTTACCCTGCCTCGGTGGGAGACGGCAGACTTGTTGAAAAAAAAAAATGAATTGGGTAACAAAAAAATTACAAAAACATTTCCTTATATTTTAGCAAGGTGGGCCAGAAGAGTGATGACATCACAGTTCAGAGGGTTTTTCAAACAGCAACATCCCCAGCCCTCCCTTCAAGTGCCAGCTATGTTCTTCTCACCTCCACAACTCAAGTCCAGCTGTTTCTTTAAATCTCTTCATAAATGTTACAATATTCACACTGTTACAGCATATCAAGGAATAGAAATCAATTTGTCTCCACTCACTGCAATATAACAAGTGGTTTTTATGACATGATGGGCTGTTGGAGCGTGAGACCGGCAATATGTACAAGAGAATCCCCTACTGGTTAGCTGGTCTATTGGACTTTTAGTTGTTAAATATACATTTTTACAGGTTTATGTAACTTAACCTAAACAATAAATTGGTAGCTTCCAAGCTGCCATATTAATAGCCTTTAATAAACTGTTTGCCATATGTATGTCAGCACAATACACACTTCTCAAATAAATATTATAGTAAAAGAAAAAATTAAATACAAATTTAAACCAATATACAGGCAGGTCCCACTTTACAGAGCTTCACTTTATGGCTTTTCACTAATACAGTGGTTTTCAATTAATTATATCCAGTCTTCATTTATTCAGACTTCCTACAATAAATATATTCACCACTCACTATAAGCTAGGGACAAAAATATTTTATAGCAAGTAATTTGTGTATTGTAAATGTATTTTTTAGGCCTAGCTCTATTGCTAACTTAATATGCAAGTATAAACATATCAGACCTAGGTAGTAGGTTGGTAGACAGCAACCGCCCAGGGAGGTACTACCGTCCTGCCAAGTGAGTGTAAAACGGAAGCCTGTAATTGTTTTAGACAATGGTGGGATTGCTGGTGTATTTTTTCTGTCTCATACACATGCAAGATTTCAGGTACGTCTTGCTACTTCTACTTACACTTAGGTCACACTACACATACATGTACAAACATATATATACACACACCCCTCTGGGTTTTCTTCTGTTTTCTTTCTAGTTTCTGTTCTTGTTTATTTCCTCTTACCTCCATGGAGAAGTGGAACAGAATTCTTCCTCCGTAAGCCATGCATGTTGTAAGAGGCGACTAAAATGCCAGGAGCAAGGGGTTAGTAACCCCTTCTGTATACATTACTAAATTTAGAAAGAAAAACTTCCGTTTTTCTTTTTGGGCCACCCTGTCAAGGTGGGATATGGCCGGTCAGTTGGAAAAAAAAAAAAAAAACATATCAGCAAGTAGTAGGTTGGTAGACAGCAACCCTCCAGGAGAGTACTACCATCCTTCCAAGCAAGCGTAAAACAGAAGCCTGTAATTGATTTACTCTATGGTAGGATTGGTGGTGTTTTTTTTCTGTTTCATCAACATGCAAGATTTCAGGTACGTCTTGCTACTTTTATTCACACTACACATGCATGTACAAGCATATACATACACAACCCTCTGGGTTTTCTTCTATTTTCTTACTAGTTCTTGTTTATTTCCTCCTATCTCCATGGGGAAGTGGAACAGAATTCTTCCTCCATAAGCTATGCGTATCATAAGACGCGACTATCATGCTGGGAGCAAGGGGCTAGTAACCCCTTTTCCTGTATCATCATCTTTCAACAAACCAGCTGTATCCCACCGAAGCAGGGTGGCCCAAAAAGAAAAACAAAAGTTTCTCTTTTCAACTTTAGTAATGTATACAAGAGAAAGGGTTACTAGCATCTTGCTCTCCCTTTCCTGTATATGTACATTACTAAATTTAAAAATAGAAACCTTTGTTTTTCTTTTTGGGCTGCCCTGCCTCGGTGGGAAATGGCCTGTTTGTTGAAAGAAGAAATATTCTTTTTATATGCATTTGAAAGTTAAATAAAGACTATGTTTCATGTTACAGTGATTTTCACTTTACAGCAGTAACCCTAAACCTAACATGTTGTATAAGTGGAGTCTGCCTGTATAAATACAGTGGAACCTCTGCTTACGAGTTTTCCGGATATGAGCCATCGCTCTGTCAATTTTTTTGCTTCTGGATTCGAGCCAAAATTCAGGTTGCAAGCTTCCCCCTCAAGGGAGGTTCCTTGATGCTGGTGAGGAGCTCTTGATCTAGGGAACTGTATCTGTGCTCCAGTTCCTTAAATTAAGCCTGAATACCTTCCATCCCTTCCCCCCCCACAGGCGCTGTATAATTCTAAGGGTTTAGCGCTTCCCCATTATAATAATAATTAGTATAATAATAATATAATACGTATTATAATAATACAGTGGACCCCGGTTAACGATATTTTTTCACTCCAGAAGTATGTTCAGGTGCCAGTACTGACTGAATTTGTTCCCATAAGAAATATTGTGAAGTAGATTTGTCCATTTCAGACCCCCAAACATACACATACAAATGCACTTACATAAATACACTTACATAATTGGTCGCATTCGGAGGTAATCGTTATGCGGGGGTCCACTGTAATAATACAATACTACGTATAATAATAATTATAATTTCAGAACACCGCCACTAGATGGCACAGTGAATACCAATACAACGCTCACCATCACCAGTACATGTGCTTACTGTACCGCTTTTTACTTTCAGATGTTAAAAAATACACTGAAGTTGCTACACAATCCTTGAAACATCTTACTCATTTAGTAACATATCTCTACAACTAGAGAACCTTCTGTTAATAGTATATGGCAACAAAAAAAAAATATAGAAGGCAATTTAGAAAATGATCTCCACTTGTAGGTACAGTAGTAACAAATATCACTCCAAGTACAGTACTGAACTTTTACTTAAGGAAACACAATCACATCACAGCCACTGAACATTTATTTCAGTTATTTTGCCAAATTTCTTTTTTCTAACCATGGGGCCTGAGAGAGTAACTGCAAAGGACAGTGCCGAGAAGAAAAACAGGATGATGTCCATGGAAGTATAAAATCATAAATAAATACAAGTGAGGGGAAGCATGGAAAGATGCTTTCAGAGTGGGAGCGGGAATGGCCACCACCACTTGTCACAATGACATTTTATTCATTCTAGAGCATATACATGTATCAGGTTTCTATGTTATTTATATTGTTTATTATGTCATATTAAATTAATTTTGATAGACAAGTAAGCCGCAGATTTGATATTAGCATTATATTGAAGTATTTTGTCCTGCCTCCTGAGAGCAGGAATTCTGCTGGAATGGATTAATGGCATTTCAGTTCGTTTAAATGAGGAAAATTGACTCGGCATACGAGCAGATTGGGTTACGAGCTAGGTCACGGAATGAATTAAACTTGAAAGAGGAGGTTCCACTGTACTGCATTTTTCAGTAAAGCAATATTAAAATTCTTATCCCATGTATAGTTTTTTGGTTAAATATTATCTCTAATGATACAGAATACAGTATATGCAACATTATGGTTGCTCTGGGTCTTACCTTAAGCCTGCGTAGTGGACGAGGAGGATTGGGAGCAGCAAAACGACTGTCACTGTTGTTACGATATATGGCAGGTCTATCAATCAAACTATTAACACGAGATACTGGCTGATTTATGTTGAGATTGGTTTCTGAATGCATTCCAAAGAGCATGGGCTTATTTAGAGGTAAAGCAGGTTTGGTAGGCTGCACAGACTTTATAAGGAAAGGGAAATGTTTCACAGGGGCTGAGGAAATTTCACGCAAGTGCAGTTTTGGTGGCAGTGATGGCTTCTCCAAGTCACTAGAGGTCACAGGAGGAATAATTGTTTCGTTCTTGACAGTTTCTTCATTTACTTCTTCTATCAACTGATCCGAGCTAGGCAGTGTTGAAAACTGACCCACCTTAGGTTTCATCTTGTGGCTAAATGAATCAGACTTGGTAATCTTCTTGTCATAACTAGTTTCTTCTGACCTGGAAGTGTAAGTGGAAATTGAAAAATTCATAGCCCGTGTTCGACTTTTACCCGCCTCATTAGTGCTGTCTGAGTTGTGGCGAGCCAAACTATTCTGAATGTTCCTAGTTTTTCTGTCACTTACATCTGATGATGTTCGTGCCTCAAGATCCAAATCAGATGGTACCTGTGCTTCTGGTAATAGTGGAGGAGCATTATCATAGCTGCTACATGAACTTGATCTGGAGTGTGGAGAAGCAACACCTGCCTCTGGGCTGTTGCAGTAACTTTCGGAGCTAGAAACAGAATCTTTAGATAATTTATTTATCTGGCTTAAGTTACTTAAAACTTGTGATTTTTTACTATCAGCAGCAACCTTCACAAAAGTTTGTGGAACAGTTGCATGCTGAACTGGAATAGCAGCTCTGACTGGAAGCATCTCTGCATTTGTCTCAATATTTCGTACTTGCGACTTAGTTGTGCATGCCGTTTCTTTGTTTGGTTGCTTATGCATTTGTAAGATTGTCTCCATGCCCTTAACCTTTGGTTTTAGCTCTACAATTCTTGGTTCATTATTATTAGTTTCTTTTATGGCTGATTTTAATTCATTTATCATATTTTGCTTTACATTCTCATCCGACTTGTGTAATGTGGAGGAAAGACTAGACGAACTTTTCCTACTGTGAGCATTAATCACTAAATCATCAGTCACCTTTAACACCATCTGCTTTGCACAGTCTACTCTTTCTAGAGTATTTACAATTCCGGAATCAGAAAGCGAGCTACATGAAGAGTCCTTAAACCCAGATGGCACATCAGAGAGGATCTCTGGCAAAGTCTCTGAATGCAGACTTGAAGAATCATCAGCATCCCTAGATGAGGGACCATCTTTAAAAGGAGTGGGAGGATCTGGAAGACTGTAATCCCAGAGGTTAGGTGAGCTGGAATGAGACAGATCATTTGTGTTTTTCATTGCTGACTGTACTGAAGGTGCTTCTGAAGACAGCTCAGATTTGTCATCATCCTTCATCTCTACAAAGGAAGCAAGATGACGTTCTGTTTTCTTACTGGTTATCTGACAGGAAAGAAAATATTTGTACAATTTTAGTTTCATTTTACACATTACTATATATATATAACATTACTGCACTTAGAAGATTTAGTTACAATATATAGTATATGGTAGTTATGTATGTGCATTATCTGATACAGCATCTGAGAAGTATTACATTAAAGCTCCAAACCCATAAGGATCATACAGCACCAGGAAAATGGCTGGGATGGAGTGTGATACAAAGAGGATGGTTGAAATCCTAGAGAGGTAGAGTAACAAAAGAGAAAACACATTCACTACCATTTATTCAATTACTGTCTTGCCAGAAACTTGCTAACATCACAGTTCAGATGGTTCTTTGTACTGCAATATCCTCACCCCTCCAACAGAGTGCAGGTACTGTGCTTCCCAAAATCTTGGACTCCAAGTACAGCTTATGTGTTTACTTGAATCCCTTCATAAATGTTAGCCTAGATTAAGAGTCATTCACTAGCATCAGGGCCCCTTCCTTCCCCCCCCCCCCCTTGAAGAAACAATGTATGAGGAAGCTACCTGGAGTTTACCTGGAGAGAGTTTCGGGGGTCAACGCCCCCGCGGCCCGGTCTGTGACCAGGCCTCCTGGTGAATCAGCGCCTGATCAACCAGGCTGTTGCTGCTGGCTGCACGCAAACCAACGTACGAGCCACAGCCCGGCTGATCAGGAACTGACTTTAGGTGCTTGTCCAGTGCCAGCTTGAAGGCTGCCAGGGGTCTGTTGGTAATCCCCCTTATGTGTGCTGGGAGGCAGTTGAACAGTCTCGGGCCCCTGACACTTATTCTATGGTCTCTTAACGTGCTAGTGACACCCCTGCTACATTTTCAATATAGTTAAACTACAAGCTTAACTTCACATAATCATTTGGGGAGTGGCAATCCAAAATTAAGTAGGAGAGCCTGTTCAAGGCCTTAAATTGCCAGAATAAACAGACTGAGCATGTCATGTACACACTCCTCAAACTGTAGAAATATTTATTAATGGTTCCAGGAATTACTGTTACACTCAATATCTTCCCCACCAAGCTACTGGTGTGATTGCATGTTGCAGATTTAGCAACGTTACTCATTTTTGTGTAGCTCTTCTATTGAAGATGATTTGCTTATTTACAAAGTGCTTCCTTCAAAACCATGGATAAAGAAATATTAAATTTGATCAAATCATTTATGAAGGATCATGAAATACAGAGGCATTTATGTTAGATTATACCCACTGATGGAGCTACAACAAGGGTAGGAAAAATGTCAGGTACTGTGAGCATCTATATGCACTTGCAAATAAACCAATATCACAAGAACTAAAAGCTGTGCAATACTAAACAACAAGGTTAAAATAAAGTCGATTTTAAAAAAAGCAAGATCACTCAATTCCAAGATATTTAGTACACTGCATAAAGAAATGTAAAACTTGCATAACACCACTGCTTCATATCTAGGATCAATGCTGTATGACTCTTGTGGGTTTAGTGCTTAGATCTGATACTGAGATTCACTGGCTATTTTGTGGAAAAAAATTGGTTCAGTTTTACGAGTTGTGAGAAGATTTTTTTTTTTTTATCAAAGTATCATCCTGAACTAGCACAAAAAATAAGTAACAAATGTTGGATACGTAATGTGCCATACCTGACTGATACATTTAAATATCTCGATACTATTTCAATACAAAGTAATAATTAAGCTAGTTTCAAAGTTCAAAGTAAAATGGGGGAAACTCAAAATGAAACTCAAACTTTGGGGCCATGTCTTTCTATGAAAAATCTTGAGTGCTTTCTAAATCTTGATAATTTTTCTTTATTGACAAATGAAGTTGTTTTAAGTGAAAATCTCAATTTGGGAGATATGTACAACTCCTTTCAAATTTTATGACAGATAGGGAATACTTTCCTCCTCCAATAGAAACACGAGACCAGGTTCAAAATTCTCTTCTTGCATTTGTAACTGCACCTAAATTACTATACAAGAGAAAGAACAACTAGCAAGTATAGTGGTACTCGGGATACGAACTTATTTCGTTCCAGAAGGCTGCTAGAGTGCCAATTTTAACCATCTCTTTAAAATAATTTCATCATTTTACATTTACCGAACTGCTTTTTAGTTTCGGATGTTAAAAAATACACTAAAGTTGCTACACAACCCTTGAAACATCTTGCTCATTTAGTAACATCTCTCTGCAACTAGAGAACCTTCTGTTAATATATGGCAACAAAAACAAATATAGAAGGCAATTTAGAAAATGATCTCCACTTGTAGGTACAGCAGTAACAAATATCACTCCAAGTACAGTACTGAACTTTTACTTAAGGAAACAATCACACCAAAGCCACTGAACATTTATTTCAATTAAAATTCTTTTATCAATAACTAAAATTACTCACTTTTAATCATTCTGCATTGATAACTTTAATTTTACAATGGTCATATTTTTTTTTATAACTACTTTTTATTTTATAAATGGGTCAATAAATGCTGATTATCTATCTTTTAAATTTCTAAACTTGCATATTAATTTTGAGAAAAATTACATATCTAGCATATACTGTATTGTATTTTATTACCACTTGTCTCGTATCATTAAAATTTTACCTTTTGGTTGAGGTTATGGGACTTTTTAGTATTAAGGTTCTCCGATGTTTAAGAGTTTGAAAAGTGCTGTTCTAGAGGCTGTTTTCTGTCTGGTCTGATGCATTTTTGCCCATGGGCAAATATAGTACAAACAGCCTATAACTGTGGAAATGAAAACGTACCTTGTCATTAGTAAAGTTAGGCGTGACATCATTACTCTCTGGGGTGGCTCCAACTACTGGGGTTCTGATAGTAGACAGTGGCAAGTCATATAACTCTGATGTTACTTCCTCAGGCTTCTGATTTTCTCCTGTGAGCCATTGTGCTGTCATTTCCCTGTCATCTCCATCAGAGTCAGTGACGGACAATGAGGAGACCAAGTGTGAACTTGCATCTGTAATTATTTTGTCTGAAATAGATTGTTCTTGGGGTTTAGAGGACATAACTTCTTTCCTGAGTGAATGATCATTTAATTCATTAGTAAGCTGGAATTCTTTAGTGGAAACTGAATTCTTGTGCTGAACACTGCTCTCACAATTGTCCTCTCTACTACTTATGCTATCAGTTTTTCTTCTGTTACTAGTACTCTGGTTATTACTGACATTATCCTGTTCATTATTAATCACAGCTTCTTTTAAAATGTTTTGATTTGTATTTTCCACTTCACTTTTCTTGTGAATGTCTATGGGACGTTCTTCACCAGGCAAGGTATCTTCAACAGGAGTGTTGTTTGCTTGCACTCGACTACTGACAACATTCTCCTCACTTGTCTCAGAGGAAAAGCTAGCAGTACGAGTTTGCACCTCATGATCTGTTTAAGGCAAACATAAGAAAAATATTAGACTTCAGAGTACTACACTGCACAGCTAACTCCTAGCTGGTGTGTATATTTCAATTGTCTTCATATGTAAAATACCAAACATAGCACAAATTACAAAACTGATAAACAGTAGACCCTCATTTTACACACAATCTTTTTACAGGATTTTTTGTGAAACACAGTTGAAAATTTAAAGCATATTTTCGAGGAGCATGTTGTAACTCATTTAGCACAATGTAACTTAAAGGAAAACAGTATGCCTCCAGATCTCCATGCATATATGCCCCATACATTACACAGTCGATTTTCAATCTCATCAAGCCACAGCTTCTATGGCTGCACCTCTATGTTACACATATATTGCTAAGACAATTGTAATCATTGAAAATTATGTAACATACCTAAATAAACTTATTTCCTCCCTTACTTATTCAATCACTGGCTGAATATTAGACTTGCATGTTTTCTCTGGAAGAAATACAGACTACAATGCATAAAACACTAGCTTTCTTTCCCTCCTGGGCCTTTCTTAAATATGACAGTTTAAAAATTAAGTTTTTATTTAGATTCTGGGTACATATTGCCCTCTTCAGGGCTATATGTACCCATATAATGTACGGCCTCTCCTCACTTAATGACGGAGTTCCGGTTCTAAACAAATTCATTGCTAAGTGAGGAGCATACTATAATGGAAGTGAGTTTGTGTCAACCATCTTTGATATTGTTTTTATGTCACTTTTGCACCATTTATAACATTTCTGGTATATTTTTAAATGTTTATACAGTAGTGTACTGTATATTGAAATAAACAGAATAGAGGAAATCAGCTCTAATATACACTATTTAGGTACAAATACTGGTCAGAGACCCCGTTATAAGTCCAAGGCATCAGTAGACGAGTGCACTGCTAAGTAAGGAGAGGCTGTACTGAAAAAGTAAAACTGACCAAAGATGCAATACAAAAATAACTCAGCCCTTCAGTACAATTATCAGTTACTATCCACCTCAGCCTATGATCCACAACCATCCATTTTGGCCCAGTGGGGCCACACCATCTCTACCTGACTGACAGTCATCAACATACACCAGCAACCAGAAATGAAGGCAAAACAAAATTAATTTATGCATCTTTTTTTAGCTACATTCAACTGCAATTACATTTTATTTTTTTAGAATTATGAAACCTAAAGCAAATATTTATTTGGCATTTTTGAGGATTCCATAAACATACATAACCTGATTTATCCTTTATGTACTTCAGTTCTTTTCACAATTTTTTATTTACAGGTTGTTTTCATTAACGTAACTACTGTGTTAAACAAGGGTCAACTGTACATAGAAGCATGCAAATTCTTTTCTCAAGAATACAGTACTTAGAGGATACCCACTTCCCACATGTTAATTATAAGCCATATGTTAATCTATACAATACAGTACTACAAAACAGATCTGTGAATGGCTATAAATTCTTGTCCTACATTATCATTAATAACTGTTACAATAAATAAATTTCTACTACTGCTAAGATTTCCCTTTATGCTAAAGAGGAATCAATTAACCAAACCAGAAGACTAGATAAGCACCAATAAGACATATTGACAGTCCCCCAATTGAAACCATCATGCAAACCTGTATCTGAGCACAGAGAAGAGCTGGAGACAGGTCGAGGTCGCAAAGAAGATCCATGAAGCACCCCTTCACAGGAGACTTGAGAAATCTGAGCAGTACCCTCAGAAGTTTCCTGAAGAGATTCCATTACCTTTGGAGCCTCTTGAAGTGACCCCCGTGGGATACTACAATCAGAATCAGAAGATTCCAACCCATCATTGTGATGAGACTCTGAGTCTTCCCAGCTTGTGTGTTCTAGCATCATGGCCAAGTAGCCAGCTCGATAACTGCTTGCTGTTGTTTGTGCAGGAAAAGCAGCAATGGGAGGAACAAAGGAAGATGCTTTATTAGAGATGTACGAAGAGCTTGTGGAGGGTGAATGTGTAGATTTTAAAATTCCATCATTTTGAATTGGAATAATTGGAGTATCCTTATTTTCTGGAGATAAATCACTTGCATTAGATATAATACTGGATTTTTTTGAGTGACACTGTGAAGAAACGGAAACACCATCAATCTCCTTTTCAGACAACAAGGACAGCATATCAAAATCTACTTTTGATAATTCTGACACATGGACTGTAAATGCCTCATCCATAGGTTCTTGGACAATTCTTTCATATTCTTCAGCTTCCAGAATATGAGAAAACTCAGAAATACTATCCTTGCATTTAGTTTCTAAATCAGAGCTTAAAAACAAATCTGGCAATGCTTGTATTTCTTCTTTATGAGATGTTTCTCTTACAGAAGTTGAAGCCTGTGTAATTTCCATAATCACAGGTGGGGGAGGTGCCATTTTCTTCTGTAGTATTTGAGTTCGGGGTAGTGGTTTTGGTTGAACTTCTATTGTAGGTGGATTAAAAATAGTATCCTGAAATGAGAGATGCAAGTTCCTCATGCCATGATTTTCATCATTTACAGTTTCTTGTATTGTCACTGTTGTATTCTGATCTGTGTTACTGTTGGTGAATTTATTTGCCAATAACGAACGAGATGGTTGCTCTGAAACAATATTTCTTTGTGCTGGTAATGGGGCATCCATTTTCAGTGGTGTTGAAGACTTAGGCTGACTGCCAGATAATGATAATCCTGGTTTATTATGGTCTAGTGCTGGGCTACCCTCAGCACTCTGATGGACTGAACTCGATGAGATTGCCAAGACATCCCTGGGTTCAAATATATCTTCATTGAAGTCCATATCATCATCAAGTACTACATCATTTTGTCTTACAAGCCTCTTATTTCTTGCTAGGGGATTCATAAGTATATGTTTAGGAGACTTATTCTTTAAACCAAATTTTTCTTCTTCACTAATTTTCTGAGTTTTGCCATCTGCTATAAATTTTTTGCTGAAATCCTCATTCTGAACAGTTGAATGTGACTTTGTAACAATTCTGAATGTTGGAATATCTGGTATATTCTCCACACCAATATTCTGTGGCACTACAGCATCAATATTAATAAAATTATTTTTGGCACTAACACCATCACCAGGAAATCTAAGATGATTTTCTTGACCGCTAATTTTCGTAATCAAATTATTGCTTTCTTGAATATTGTCTGCACACAGCTTCTGCATTTTCTCACTAATCACAGAAGATGTAGGTAAAAGTTCTTGGGAAGAAAGATGAGGTTTAGCTTCATCTTGATTCTGGCGATGCTGGTGGCTATGGTGATGAAAATCCTCGGGATCAGCTAACCTGTCAGGAGAGACTATGCCACTTGCTGTGCTGTTCAAATTGTTGCTGTCTGTGCTGTGGCTTAGACTAGATGCTGCTGCTGCCGCATGATGCATTCCAAAGGCGACTCCAGCAGCAACAGTAGTACGTGCATCAGTGGGTGCAAGAAGTTTGGTAGTGTTGGAGAAACTTGAATGTGGAGGTGTCATATTGGAGGAGAAAGGAGTGGCAGGAGAAGGCTGAGTACTATTCAAGAGGGTTGCATGAAGATTAGTGTGCTCTGTGGAGGGTTAGTACATCCAATTACCAAGCATGCTGAGGATAATACACGAAGGGGTGGGGGCCCTAATTTACAAACGAGTTGCATTCCCGGTATTTCAACTTCAGAATAAGCCATTTGTATCCCTCAACCAATTAATGTACCCTAATAAAAATATTAATTTGAAAGGCTAACAATATCACACGTTAGCAACCTCAGATCAGCATTCGTAGGGCAATTATTTTCTCAACATAACTCAAGCATTTATATATCAGGGACCCCCCCTGTCAGTAGTAACATGCACATCAGACATGAGATAGTGCAAATACCATGCCATTACTTCATAAAAGTTATAAATTAAGCATTTTTCAGGCTTGACATTATGCTATATGAGGAATAGAGGTTACACTAGCATGGCTGGAACAACTGATTATTAACCCATAATTTGAAGAGCAAATTTTAAATGCTTCAGTTCATCTTGAACTGTGGCTTTATAATGGTTCAGGATGAACTGAAACATCTACAGTTTCCTCTCAAAGGTGTGTTAATAGTAAATGAATGGTTTTATTAGCTTCACAACTGCAATAACGCCTACTGTAGTTTGTAAACACTTTCCTGCGAACTTATCTGTATGTTATTACAAAACAGAAAAACTATCATATGTAATACAGTGCTGTAATTACTTCTACTGTACTATAATATACTTGCTCATGCTGTCTACTGTACTGTACTAGCAAACTCCTATATTAATTAATGAGCATTCAAACGGTCTACTAAATATATAAGCACTTCAAATTGTTGTTAATCTACCATGCATTCTAAGTATTAATATCAAAGCATTAAAATATTAAGAATAATTTAGCTACCATCTCTAGTATGCGTATATCAAGTAATGATAAATGTATTTCAGTATCAAGTAACATTATAAACATTAAACCATAAGTTATACAAAACCAATTATTGAACTAAAATTACACATCAATGAGAACGGCTTTAGCTTAAACTGAATACTATACAAAAAATGTGCCTAAAACAAAGAGAAGTGCCAAGTTGTAATACAAAACACAGTATATTGTACTTTATTTTTGGCAAAAATGGAACTGCAGTTTATAATACTAAATACAATACAGCAGTAAAAATAGTTTAAAATGCTAATTTTTGTTGACCGGCAATAATTTCTCCAAGATCATTAAGGAATTCATTCCAGTCATCTTCCATGTTACCATCATCAAGAAATACCTGCGGAGCAGACACAAGCTTACCTGAGGCCGAGGACAGCGGTGGAGGGGACTCTAAGTCTGCTGGGGGAAGCAGATGAGGGTTATTTGCTTGCTGTGGGTCTACACTACTCAGTGATGATACTGAGCTTACATGGGAGGATGTTGGAGAAGAGGGTTGGTTATTAGGCTTGTGGGGAGGATCATGGTGTGCTTCCCCATTTACCAAGGGTACATCTTCCTGGGAGGATGACTTTGTGGGTGCTGGGGACTCTGACTCTTCTGGAATAGCAGAGGGCCAAGTTGATTCATCCTGCCGTATGGGAGGCGGCTTGGGAGGTGGCGGAGCTCTGCGCTTGCCCCGGGAGGAAGACAAGGAAAGGTTTGATGTGGAAACCACTGAAGTAAGGTTAGTAGGTGGAGGTGCTGGAGCACCACCTGCACCTTCTGCATTACTGATTTCTGAACCTGCTGGACTGAAAAAAATATATATATATGACAGTTTGCAAAAAAATAACAAAACAACATTGAAATAGTATGCAGCAAAATAAATGTTACAAATGAATCATTTTTTTTTTTTTTTTTTTTTTCAACAAGTCGGCCGTCTCCCACCGAGGCAGGGTGACCCAAAAAAGAAAGAAAATCCCCAAAAAGAAAACACCCCCACCATCACTCAACACTTTCACCACACTCGCACACTATCACTGTTTTTGCAGAGGTGCTCAGAATACAACAGTCTAGAAGCATAAACATATAAAGATACACAACATATCCCCCCAAACTGCCAATATCCCAAACCCCTCCCCCAAAGTGCAGGCATTGCACTTCCCATTTCCAGGACTCAAGTCCGACTATATGAAAATAACCGGCTTCCCCGAATCCCTTCACTAAATATTACCCTGCTCACACTCCAACAGATCGTCAGGTCCCAAGTACCATTCGTCTCCATTCACTCCTATCCAACACGCTCACGCACGCTTGCTGGAAGTCCAAGCCCCTTACCCACAAAACCTCCTTTACCCCCTCTCTCCAACCCTTTCGAGGACGACCCCTACCCCGCCTTCCTTCCCCTATAGATTTATATGCTTTCCATGTCATTCTACTGTGATCCATTCTCTCTAAATGACCAAACCACCTCAACAACCCCCTTCTGCCCTCTGACTAATACTTTTATTAACTCCACACCTTCTCCTAATTTCCACACTCCGAATTTTCTGCATAATATTTACACCACACATTGCCCTTAAACAGGGCATCTCCGCTGCCTCCAACCGTCTCCCTCGCTGCTGCATTTACCACCCAAGCTTCACACCCATATAAGAGTGTTGGTACTACTATACTTTCATACATTCCCTTCTTGCCTCCATAGATAACGTTTTTTGACTCCACATATACCTCAACGCACCACTCACCTTTTTTCCCTCATCAATTCTATGATTAACCTCATCCTTCATAAATCCATCCGCCGACACGTCAACTCCCAAGTATCTGAAAACATTCACTTCTTCCATACTCCTCCTCCCCAATTTGATATCCAATTTTTCTTTATCTAAATCATTTGACACCCTCATCACCTTACTCTTTTCTATGTTCACTTTCAACTTTCTACCTTTACACACATTCCCAAACTCATCCACTAACCTTTGCAATTTTTCTTTAGAATCTCCCATAAGCACAGTATCATCAGCAAAAAGTAACTGTGTCAATTCCCATTTTGAATTTGATTCCCCATAATTTAATCCCACCCCTCTCCCAAACACCCTAGCATTTACTTCCTTTACAACCCCATCTATAAATATATTAAACAACCATGGTGACATTACACATCCCTATCTAAGACCTACTTTTACCGGGAAGTAGTCTCCCTCTCTTCTACACACCCTAACCTGAGCCTCACTATCCTCATAAAAACTCTTTACAGCATTTAATAACTTACCACCTATTCCATATACTTGCAACATCTGCCACATTGCTCCTCTATCCACTCTATCATATGCCTTTTCTAAATCCATAAATGCAATAAAAACTTCCCTATCTTTATCTAAATACTGTTCACATATATGCTTCAATGTAAACACCTGATCTACACATCCCCTACCCACTCTAAAACCTCCTTGCTCATCCGCAATCCTACATTCTGTCTTACCTCTAATTCTTTCAATTATAACCCTACCGTACACTTTTCCTGGTATACTCAGTAAGCTTATTCCTCTATAATTTTTACAGTCTCTTTTGTCCCCTTTCCCTTTATATAAAGGGACTATACATGCTCTCTGCCAATCCCTAGGTACCTTCCCCTCTTTCATACATTTATTAAACAAAGTACCAACCACTCCAACACTATATCCCCCCCTGCTTTTAACATTTCTGTCATGATCCCATCAGTTCCAGCTGCTTTACCCCCTCTTCATTTTACGTAATGCCTCACGTACCTCCCCCACACTTACATTCTGCTCTTCTTCACTCCTAAAAGATGGTATACCTCCCTGACCAGTGCATGAAATTACTGCCTCTGTTTCTTCCTTAACATTTAAAAGTTCCTCAAAATATTCTCGCCATCTACCCAATACCTCCATCTCCCCATCTACTAACTCCCCTACTCTGTTTTTAACTGACAAATCCATATTTTCCCTAGGCTTTCTTAACTTGTTTAACTCACTCCAAAATTTTTTCTTATTTTCATTAAAATTTCTTGACAGTGCCTCTCCCACTCTATCATCTGCTCTCCTTTTGCACTCTCTCACCACTCTCTTTACCTTTCTTTTACTCTCCATATACTCTGCTCTTCTTATAACACTTCTGCTTTGTAAAAACCTCTCATAAGCTACCTTTTTCTCTTTTATCACACCCTTTACTTCATCATTCCACCAATCACTCCTCTTTCCTCCTGCCCCCACCCTCCTATAACCACAAACTTCTGCCCCACATTCTAATACTGCATTTTTAAAACTATTCCAACCCTCTTCAACCCCCCCACTACTCATCTTTGCACTAGCCCACCTTTCTGCCAATAGTCGCTTATATCTCACCCGAACTTCCTCCTCCCTTAGTTTATACACTTTCACCTCCCTCTTACTTGTTGTTGCCACCTTCCTCTTTTCCCATCTACCTCTTACTCTAACTGTAGCTACAACTAAATAATGATCCGATATATCAGTTGCCCCTCTATAAACATGTACATCCTGGAGCTACCCATCAACCTTTTATCCACCAATACATAATCTAATAAACTACTTTCATTACGTGCTACATCATACCTTGTATATTTATTTATCCTCTTTTTCATAAAATATGTATTACTTATTACCAAATTTCTTTCTACACATAGCTCAATTAAAGGCTCCCCATTTACATTTACCCCTGGCACCCCAAATTTACCTACTACTCCCTCCATAACATTTTTACCCACTTTAGCATTAAAATCCCCAACCACCATTACTCTCACACTTGATTCAAAACTCCCCACGCATTCACTCAACATTTCCCAAAATCTCTCTCTCTCCTCTACACTTCTCTCTTCTCCAGGTGCATACACGCTTATTATAACCCACTTTTCACATCCAATCTTTATTTTACTCCACATAATCCTTGAATTAATACATTTATAGTCCCTCTTTTTCCTGCCATAGCTTATCCTTCAACATTATTGCTACTCCTTCTTTAGCTCTAACTCTATTTGAAACCCCTGACCTAATCCCATTTATTCCTCTCCACTGAAACTCTCCCACCCCCTTCAGCTTTGTTTCACTTAAAGCCAGGACATCCAGCTTCTTCTCATTCATAACATCCACAATCATCTCTTTCTTATCATCTGCACAACATCCACGCACATTCAGACTTCCCACTTTGACAATTTTCTTCTTCTTATTCTTTTTAGTAATCTTTACAGGAAAAGGGTTACTAGCCCATTGTTCCCGGCATTTTAGTTGACTTTTACAACACGCATGGCTTACGGAGGAAAGATTCTTATTCCACTTCCCCATGGATATAAAAGGAAAATTAATAAGACCAAGAACTATTAAGATAAAATCAAAGAAAACTCAGATGAGTGTGTATAAATAAATGTGTACATGTATGTGTAGTGTGACCTAAGTGTAAGTAGAAGTAGCAAGACATGCCTGTAATCTTGCATATTTATGAGACAGACAAAAGACATCAGCAATCCTACCATCATGTAAAACAATCACAGGCTTCGTTTTACACTCACTTGGCAGGACGGTAGTACCTCCCTGGGTGGTTGCTGTCTACCAACCTACTACATATGAATCATAATATTAAGTAAAAAGAAAGAATCAAGTAACATGGGGACAAAGTTCAAGATCCTATTTATTTTGTCATATGATACACAGTACATATACTATATCACCTACAGAACAGTTATGATGCTCTTCAATTTTCCCTCATGAAGAAATTTAGTTCTGAGTTGTAATGAAAAACTTTGTGATATGATACATCCAGCTCTGGACCTCAGACCAAAGACAGGGTGATGAAACACTCTAAATAGAGTGGTGGAGGGTGTGTTGGAGGTAAGTGAAAGAGTAGGAGGGAAGGGAAAGGGGTTGGAGTAAGGGGGTGGGAGTAAGGGGGGTGGGAGTAAGGGGGTGGGAGTAAGGGGGGTGGGAGTAAGGGGGGTGGGAGTAAGGGGGTGGGAGTAAGGGGGTGGGAGTAAGGGGGCACTGCAGGGTAAATGGGTAATGGGAAGAGTTGGGTGATTAGCTCTTACTCCCAACCATAGAGCTTCAACCAACTGATGCAAATTAGTCCTGTCACACACATTTTTCCACCCCAGTACAGTATGCTTCAGCCATTTCATTTCTCACCTTACTCCACTTTCTGACCAACCTTATGAACTGCTTCCAGACATCAATCGAACACAGTAGCAGTAAGCAGAGTTAAATTGGAAGCTGCCATAGTGGAGAGCTCTGTTCCACAAGGCACAGTATTCACCCCCATCCTGTTCCTTATCATCATATAAGACAGACAGAGATGTAAACCATAGCACTGTATCATCCATTGCAGACGATACTAGAATCTGCACGAGACTGTCATCCACTGAGAAGATTGTAAATCTCCAAGAAGATATAAACCAAGTTTTCCAATGGGCAACAGAGAACAATATCGTGTTCAATGAAGACAAATTCCAACTACTCTGTTATGGAAAACTGGAGGAAATAATAGCCAGAACTGAATATATGCACCATAAACTCGAACCGCACAATAGAGTGGAAAGGTAATGTGAAGGACCTGGGAATGGTACTGTCTGAGGATCTCACCTTCAAGGATCACAACAGTGTCAATATCACATCTGCAAGGAAAATGATAGGATGGATAATGAGAACATTCAAAACAAGAGATGCCAAGCCAATGATTATCCTTTTTAAATCACTTGCTCTCTCTAGGCTGGAATACTGCTATACATTAACATCTCCATTCAAAGCAGGTGAAATTGCAGATCTAGAGAATGTATGGAGATCCTTTATTGCACACAAGTTCTGTTAAACACCTTAACTACTGGGAATGCTTGGAAGCGCTCAACTTGTACTCACTGGAGCACAGACAAGAGAGATACAGTGTACATCATAATCTACACCTGGAAAATCCTAAAGGGATTGATCCCTAATCTGCACATAGAAATCACTCCCTTTGAAAGCAAAAGGCTTGGCAGGCAGTGCAACATACACCCAATGAAAAGTAGGGGCAACATTAGTACACTAAGAGAAAATACAATAAGCCTCCTACCAGCTATAAGGGGAATCAGCAACAGACTCCTGGCTGCCTTCAAAAGGGAGCTGGACAGATAAATAAAGACAGTGCCGGATCAGCCAGGCTGTGGTGCGTACATTGGACTATGTGCGGCCAGTAGTAACAGCCTAGTATATTAGGCCCTGATCCACCAAGAAGCCTAGTCATGGATTGGGCTGCAGGGGCGTTGATCCCTGGAATACCCTCCAGGTAGATTCCAGGCTCAATGGGTGTGTAATACCCTCAAGGTATACTCTATTTTTTTACATTTCTTCAAATTACCTTCACTTTGGAAAGGAAACTTATGACAATGTCTTGGTTTGTCCTGCACTACTGTTAGTACATCCTGTGTAAAGTACATAACACTATTTATCCTTGTCTACCCTATCAATGACCTATAATAATCTTTATGTCATGATTTTATTGCTCTTATTTCTTTGTTCCTTCAGTGACATAAGGCAAATACCTAGTATTCATTCTTGGTAGCTCATTTCCTTAACTGTTTAGCTGCAGTAAGAGTATATAGTACCTAGTTCTGGTACAGAAATGCACTTTACTTACCTGGTGTCACTGTGTAAGTTTATTTAGGCACAGGTACACATAAGTACAATTATCATACAGTGTAAATTACCTAGGATAATCCAAAATAGTGGCTTACTTCCATTGAGGTCCTTGTGGCATTGTACATCCCTGGTGTAAATAAGCATTACACTGTATATATGTCTGGTGTAACTGTGGTTGAGTACTGTACATACCTGGTGTAGGGAGAGCGCTGGTCAGCTTCATGGTATCCTGAAGAGTCTGAGCTGTGACGAGAGAGGCTGGTGCCACCACCCTCATGAGCCTCACTGCTCTCCTCCTGCACACACACACACACAACACACAATCATTATTAAGCAACACGAACACATCCAAGTGTATTGAGACCAGTGTACTACAGTGTTCATCCACTTCATAACACCAGTTATGTAAGTGGCTAACACATTACAATTCATTAAACACAATGCACATTTGTAATACCATACTACACTTTTAATGTAAACAGTTCATATGAAATATCCTCAAATGGTTCTGTAAATTTTTATAACATGTTTCCAAGAATTAGATAAAATTGTTTTAAAAAGGCTTATTTTCTATGGAATACCTAATATAAATTATGGTGAACCCTCAGTTTAGCAACTTAATGTAAGAGGTTTCTGATAAACTTAACTGCCCATTAAGTTTGAATGACGAGATTGTTTTTCCACGATTATGACAATAATGGTCAATCTGAGATATAACAGAATGAGTGGACCACAACAATAAAATCCAGTTCTGGATTTGATGAACTTTGTTCATTAAGTAGGCATTTTGAGAGATCACTGCATCAATATCTTTGAATCCAAGATGATTCAACTTATTACCAGCAGATATCAAATATTGCCAGAACAAATTTAAGTCTTCAAGAACAAACTGGCTTACTACCTCCACTAGCGCCAAATCAACCCAACTGTGATAACTTAAGGGACCTGCTGGCTGCCAACAATAGGCAAGTCTGAGGGTAGAAAAGTCCTCGAAACTTGTACATCACAGGTATATTCTTGCATAATGAGTTAAGTTCATCCAGATTTCATCCTTTCCTGTTACTACTCAGCTACTGCACTAGTAGTGTCCTGTTACTACTCAGCTACTGCACTAGTATTGTTTACATAACCTAACAATTATTAAAATCTAAGGTATCTTAAAATAACACAATAGCATTTATAAGATTAGTGGAAGCATTAGGAACTAGATTTTGGAAAGCTCACATAAAAGTTATAGACTAAGAAGATATTGGATTTAAGATTGAGAAGAGGCAATAGAACTTGCCTTGCCATTGGTGTGTGGCACAGGGGTGGCCACAGGAGTGGGCACAGGTACTGACGAAGGTGTGGATGTGGGCACGGGCTCAGGAGTGGGAACCGAAGGCGGTGCTGGCGCCTGTCTCTTTCTGTTTCTAGCCAAGTTTATGGTGGATGTTGGTCGTGAAAGTTGAGGCTGTGGTTGGAAGGAGGTGAGTGTTGCGGAGGAGGAGGCTAGGGAGAGTGGCCGTGGTGTTGGACGACCCTCCACAGACTCATCAGAGCGGGCAGGGCTGACACTCCGCTCTCCAGCACTGCCAGATGAAACACTGCTGTCACCTGTAGACTGTTACAATCGAACCTCACATTAACATCACAGTTATAGGCTTCAAATACTTCATATTTGAAATAGGGTTCACTAATTCTTAAACTTTCAAATAGTACACTGTATTTTCTAAAAAGAGTAATTAGTCAACCCTCAATTTCAGAGACTAATGGTTAGTTAGTAAATTTATTTAGGCACAGGTACACACAAGTACAATTATCATATACATATATGCATAGTACAAATTACCTAGGATAACCCAAAAAAGAAGTCTGGCTTATTTCAATTGGTAGAGCAGGTGGTCAGAAATGAGGATAGTTGGAAAAAGATGAGATTGGTTTACTGTGATCGAAACTGTGGAATTTTTTTACATAATTTCCTAAATGTAGAATATAATAATTAATAATATAATAACCGTGTATTAAAATGTGATGCTATTTGGACCCTTTGAGAAATTTCGAGCGGGGGGAATTCCCCCAGAACGCCAGGAAATACGCGGCAGTGACACAATAACTAATTTAAATTTTTAAACTTCAAAACTTCAATTAAATAGGCAAAATTCTTAAAAGGTCAATTTTGTATATAAACCTCAATTCAACTAATTTATTAGAAATTTTGCTATACACTTTCCCTTTGCTGAAAATTTGGATAAAAAAAGGGGAATCCCTTACAATTTGGAACAGGGGACAGAAAAATGGGGAAAGATGGATTGTTATTTGTGAAACTGGTTTTTTTAAATTTTCCCTTTAAATAATTTATTTAATAGAAAAAGGGTGTTTTTGGGCCCCTTTGAAATTGAAGGAAACCCAAACCCAAGTGCCCCGGCAAAAGGAACAAGGGGGAAATTTTGGGGAACACTTCCGACGTGCATGGCAAAAGGGTGAAGGATACACCCATCCTTTAAAGAAATTGCACCTTTTCCTTTAAGTTTAAAGAGTCCCTTACTTTTGGGCAAAAGCAATTCCTTTTGAAATTTGGAGAAAAATTTTTGTATTTGCAATAATTTCACATAAAAAAATTTGCCTAACAAAAAAAATGTAATTCCCCGTGTGGATAACTAAATTTTTGGGAAAACCTTCAATAATAATATAAAGTTGGTTAGGCAAATTAAAGGCACCTTGTTTAATTGGGTTCATGTTTTTTTAAAACAATGTTTTCTTTCCCAAAATGCAACAAAAATATTATTAATTAAAAAAAAATTTTAAAAAATAATTTTCATTTGTTGATTTACTAAATTTGAAACCCCGGTCAAATATTTTAATTATTAGTGCTAAAAAAAGGACTAAGAAAGGGTTTTGCGGACAAAATAATAAATAATTTTTTTTTTTTTTAAAAAGTATAAAAAAAATTTGGAATTTAATACCTTCTTGAAAGGGAAGTTTTTCCTTTTTTGCCACAACACACCACAAATTTTTCCACTCTCCAAGGGGATGGGAAAGGGGGGCAATTTTTGAGAAGCAAGGAATATGGAAAATTAGAGTGATATTTGCACCCCAACCCTTTTTAATTGTTAGAACAGGTCTGTGACCAAAAAATTCACCTTTTCCCCCCCATATGGATTGAGGGGGTCCTTTTTAAATAAAAAAAGAAAAGAATATAATGCCACCCCTTTTTCTGTTTAAACCCGTCTTGACGGAAAATGTTCCAAGGGGAAACTAAAATAATTCATATAATCCAAAATATGTTTAACTTTATTAATTAAAAAAGAGGGGAATCCTCTTTTAAATTCTGTTTTTCCCCTTTTGATCCAATTTCCATCTCAAATAATATTCATATTAACTAAACTTGTTTCACAAGTTTTGGTACTTAACTGTGTAAGTTGGAAAACCCAACCCCTTCGTATCTAAAACAATTTTCCCTATCCTCAGTATTTTACAAACTTTCAATAGTTGACTTTACTGAAAAAAGTGTGAAAAAAGGTACTTGAGAAAAATTTTCCCCCCCCAGTGGTTTCCTTACAACCTCAATACTGACAAAATTTAATAAGGGGTTTGAATATTACTAAATTTTGGGTTTTTGAGAAATATACAATTATATATTAATTTTATGTATATTTTTTATTTACATTATTATATAAATAATTTATATTTTAAATTTATATATATAATTTATATATATATATATAATGTTTTAATATATATAAAAATTTATATTTATATTTTATAATATATATTTTAATTTTATATATATATATATATATATAAAATATATATATATATATATATAAAAATATATATAATATATATATATATATATATATATAAATATATATATATATTATTATATAATTTATATATATATATATAATTATATATATATATATATATAATTAATTATATTATATATAATTATATATATTATTATATATATATAAAATTATATATATATATTTATAATTATATTTTATATATATATAAAATTTATATATATATTATATATAAAATTATATATATTTATATATATATATATATATAATATATATATATATTATATTATATATATATATAAATTAAAATTATAAAAATAAAAATAATATATATATAAAATATATTTATATATATATATATATATATATAATATATATATTTATATATATATATTATATATATATATATAATATATATTATATATATAATAATTTTATATTAATATATATATTATATATATATATATATATATATATATATATATATTTTAAAATATAATATATATATATATATAAAATATATATATATATATATATATTTTCAAAAAGGGTCGGTCGTCCCCACCGAGGCAGGGTGACCCAAAAAAAGAAAGAAAACCCCCAAAAGAAAATACTTTCATCATTCAACACATTCACCACACTCACACATTAACCCACTGCTTTTGCAGAGGTGCTCAGAATACAACAGTTTAGAAGCATATACGTATAAAGATACACAACATATCCCTCCAAACTGGCCAATATCCAAACCCCTCCTTTAAAGTGCAGGCATTGTACTTCCCATTTCCAGGACTCAAGTCCGACTATATGAAAATAACCGGTTTCCCTGAATCCCTTCACTAAATATTACCCTGCTCACACTCCAACAGATCGTCAGGTCCCAAGCATCATTCGCCCTCCATTCACTCCTATCAAAACACGCTCATGCACGCTTGCTGGAAGTCCAACCCCCTCGCCCACAAAACCTCCTTTACCCCCTCTTTCCAACCTTTCGAGGACGCCCCCTACCCCTCTTTTCCTTCCCCTATAGATTTATATGTTTTCCCATGTCATTCTACTTTGATCCATTCTCTCTAAATGACCAAACCACCTCAACAACCCCCCCTTTCTGCCCTCTAACTAATGCTTTTATTAACTCCCACCTTCTCCTAATTCCACACTCCGAATTTTTGCATAAATTTTACACCACACATTGCCCTTAGACAGGACATCTCCACTGCCTCCAACCATCTCCTCGCTGCTGCATTTACCACCCAAGCTTCAAAATCCAAAATAAGAGTGTTGGTACTACTATACTTTCATACATTCCCTTCTTTCCCTCCATAGATAACGTTTTTTGACTCCACATATACCTCAACGCACCACTCCCCTTTTTTTCCCTCATCAATTCTATGATTAACCTCATCCTTCATAATCCATCCGCCGACCGTCAACTCCCAAGTATCTGAAAACATTCACTTCTTCCATACTCCTCCTCCCCAATTTGATATCCAAATTTTTCTTTATCTAAATCATTTGATACCCTCATCACCTTACTCTTTTCTATGTTCACTTTCAACTTTCTACATAATATATATATATATATATATATATTGGTAGACAGCAACCACCCAGGGAAGTACTACCGTCCTCCCAGTTTGACTGTGAAACAAAAACCTGTAACTGTTTTGCATGATGGTAGGTTTGCTGGTTTCTTTTTCTGTCTCATAAACACGCTAAGATAACAGGGATATCTTGCTACTCCTACTTACACTTTGGTCCCCACTTCACAGACACGCACATGCATATATATATATACATACATCTGGGTTTTTTTCTCCTTTTTCTAAATAGCTCTTGTTCTTTTTTATTTCTTCTATTGTCCATGGGGAAGTGGAAAAGAATCTTTCCTCCCGTAAGCCATCTTTGTCGTATGAGGCGACTAAAATCCGGGAGAAATGGGCTAGTAACCCCTTCTCCTGTATACAATTACTTAAAAAAAAGAAAAAAACTTTATAAAACTGGGTTGCTTAAATGTGCGTGGATGTAGTGCGGAGGGAAAAGAAACAGATGATGGCTGATGTTATGAATGAAAGAATTTGGGATGTCCTGGCCCTAAGCGAAACAAAGCTGAAGGGGGTAGGAGAGTTTCAGTGGGGGAAATAAATGGGATTAAATCTGAGTATCTGAGAGAGTTAGAGCAAAGGAAGGGGTAGCAGTAATGTTAAATGATCAGTTATGGAAGGAGAAAAGAGAATATGAATGGTAAATTCAAGAATTATTGGATTAAAGTAAAGGTTGGATGCGAGAAGTGGGTCATAATAAGCGGTATGCACCGGGAGAGAGAGGGAATGCAGAGGAGAGAGAGAGATTTTGGGAGATGTTAAGTGAATGTATAGGAGCCTTTGAACCAAGTGAGAGAGTAATTGTGGTAGGGGGACTTGAATGTAAAGTAGAGAAACTTTTAGAGAGGGTGTGGTAGGTAAGTTTGGGGTGCCAGGTGTAAATGATAATGGGAGCCCTTTGATTGAACTTGTAAAGAAAGGGGTTTATTTTATAGGTAATACATATTTTAAGAAAAAAGAGGATAAATAAGTATACACGATATGATGTAGGGCGAATGACAGTATTTTTGTGGATTATGTATTGGTAGATAAAAGACTGTTGAGTAGACTTCAGGATGAAACATGTTTAAAGGGGGCCACAGATATATCAGATCATTTTCTAGTTGTAGCTACACTGAGAGTAAAAGGTAGATGGGATACAAGGAGAATAGAAGCATCAGGGAAGAGAGAGGTGAAGGGTTTTATAAACTAAAGAGGAGGCAGTTGGGGTA